CTCTCTCTTCTCTCTCTCTCTCTCTCTCTCTCTCTCTCTCTCTCTTTGTCTCTTTCTCTCTCTCTCTCTCTCTCTCTCTCTCTCTCCTTTTCTCTCTCTTTCTCTCTTCTCACTCTCACTCTCTCATTTTTCATTCTTGTTCTCATTCTCTCTTGCTCTCTCTCTCTCTCGCTCTCTCTCTCTTTCTCTTTCTCTTTCTCTTGTGCTCTCTCGCTCTCTCTCTCTCTTCCTCTCTCACGCTCTCGCTCTCGCTCTCTCTCTCCTCTCTCCTTCTCCTTCTCCTTCTCCTTCTCCTTCTATCCCTCCCTTTTTCTCTCTTTGCTGTCAGTTTGCCTTATATGTTTTGTTTTTTTTACTTATCTGCAGAAAGTAGAAAATGACGCGATTGGGCCGCGCTGAATGACTGGTCCCTCGGGAGCAGTGAGGAAGAGGAGGTTGGGCCAACAAGGGAGGTTCTGGAGGCAGAGGCAGCAAAATGCTACAATGATGCTGTCAGATACTTGGCGCATGGACAGCTCGACCAAGCTCAAGAACAGTTCCTTAGGGTCATGGCAATAATCCTTATATTGAGAAAGTAAGTGAGGCTGGGAGTTAGTATTGCCTATTGAGTTTTTTCAGTTGAACAATTCTTATGGTAGATGTTATGTAAATGATACAGAGGTTATATGTTATTTGATTTTTTTCTATGTGACAATTACTATGGTAGATAAGTTATGAGTGATTAATCTGATGATGCATAATATGATATGTTAATTTGCAGGCATGTTGGCAGAGGGTAGGTATAGAGCCAGGAGGAGTCCTACCTCAGGACTTAGCGCTCAAGTACTCCTGCCTGAAAAACCTGGGTAAACCTGGCGCAACAAGGAAAGGAGAACACCAGCAAGCTGTAGATTATTATTTAGAGGTAAGTTAGTTTAAATGCTTATCACTTTGTATCTGTAGAGTACGTGCACGGTGATTTGATTGCTCTCTGTGGTGTTGAATATTTTAAGATGTTTTCAACTTGAATTGGACTTTTTTCTTCTTCTTCTTCTTCATTTTTCTTTCTTATTTAATGTGTTGATATTACACACTTGTTTATACCACTTTGTAAGGATTTTCTGTCTGGTAAAAAAACATATTTCTTTCAGTTAGTGTCATATGTGAGAACTTGACAAAATGAGTACTTACACTTGAAGGAATTCTATGAAATTATCAGCATCTTTCTACAAATGCTGATGTAGTTACTACAGAAAAATATCCTAGAAAGCTGAGAAAAAAGAAAAGAGGACTGATGTTAAGGAAAGTCACCTGAAAGATTGTTATTATTAGGTTGTCGGGTTTTGACTTAGATGGTCTATAGATTATTTGAGGTGGATGGACTTGAAAGAGCAAGTAGGTTTTTCTACAAAAATTGGGATTAAAATGTGTCAGTTTTGTACCTTCGTTTTCACTTACTTTTTATTTGTTTTTCTCAAATATGTAAGTAGTGTATAAAAGGCTATTTTTAAGTTTTACTGCTGCTTTTTACGTGAAGGTATGACATATGACTTAGTAAGGCCAAAAATCTTAAAAATCTTTTCTGCATATTGGAGAAAAAAAGGTGAAAATTGATGTAAAATCAGTTGGGTCTTACAGATTACAGACAGCTCAGACTTATTAGAAAATAACAAAAATGTTCATAAACTTTTTTTGTTTTGTTTTATGCTTACAAATGTTTGATTATATAAAATGAAAGGATTACTTGAAAATGTTCCTTTGTTGATCTGTAATTTTATTGCTTTTCCAATAGTGCAATCAGATGTTACATTGTTTTTAATCATACAGAGTTTTTTCGTTCCCAGAAATATTATTATTTCCAATATGTCACTCCTTATAATGAGTCACTGGTCTGTGTAGTGTATTGAAGTGTTTGGAATTTGAATCCTATTTCTACTGGATTACTGCGTATTTATGTATGTTTCTTTTTGTTTATTTAAGGCTTTATTCAGGTTTTACAAACTAAGCTGAATCTTTTCCAGGCTGTGAGATTAGACCATACAGAAGTAACACTTTGGCAACGTCTTGGTGCAGCGGCAATCAAAATTAAGGACTTTGAGCTGGCGTTAGTTGCCTTCCAAGAGGTATGTTGGAAATGTGTTTGTGTCTGAAAGCTTTAATTTCTTTGTTTGATGTCTATTAGATGGATGCTGGTGGCTTCTTCATTTTTTTTTTTTTTTTTTTGATAGATTAAAAAGAGTAAGTCTCAGGTTATACTGTCTGAGAGTACAGGTATTAAACTTTTTATTTTTTTTAGAAGAATGGGTTTCTAAGATATAATGTTTTTTTTCTAGAAATTAATTGAGTTGTAAAGAAAGGAGGGTACCATACCCATAAAATTTGATAATGCTTAAAGAGTGCACAAAGAATGACAGACTTTCATTGATATCCATTTTTTATTTCGTTCGTAGGGTCTCACAGTAAATCAGAAGCATTGGCCATGTCTGGATCAGTTGCTTTCCGTTCTTTTCATCCTTCAAATGTACATGGACTGCCTTGGTCTTATTATCAATGCTCTCCAGCGTGATCCAGGTTATATAAAGGCCCATGCTTTCAAAGACAGAATATTTGAGCTTCAGCCGTCGTTGCAAGAAGACGTAAAACACTTCTTTAGTAACAGGTAAGGAGAATCGAGAAAATTTTGATCTAATATGGATTAGATATTTCATATTTTTTGTTTTTTGTTTTTCAAGGAATTTATAAGATATTAGAACTAATAAAGATATGAAACTATATTTTAGAACTTCTGTCAGGTGATTATTCCTTTCTTAATATTGCAGTTCCCTTTTATTCAAAACTGTGGAATATGACAAAGAAAAGGGCGACAAATTTATAGCAACTTGTGAATCACTTCGTCCTCCAAACAAGACTCCCCGACCTCCTTCTCCACTCCAACTCCAGATGTTGCGCAAGCCACTGCCGAAGCTGTCCTGGGAAAATCTAGCACAGTCACTAATTACAACTTACGATGAACTCATTGAAGCAAATCCCATGGTAAATAGAGTGTCTCTCTTGCTGTTGTGTTTTCTATCTTTTAGTCAGCCTGTGTGAGCAACATGATCTGTAATATGTAATTTATAAATGGCTTTACAAAGTATTATTTTAAGGTCCTAGATAGATATTTATCATATTTTTTAGAATGTTTGTTTCCTCATATTAAGATAAGGAGAAAAAGACTGATTTATGTTATTCTTCTATCATTGAAAAGCTTAGATAATTTAGTAATTCACTGGTAAATGGTTGAGCAATAGTACAAAATGTATGTGTAAAGAAAGAATAGCATAGTATTTGAAGAGATAGATCAGATTAGTTGGAGAATAATGTTAGAATTCTATGATTTTGTATTATCTAAACACTTTGGAAAGATATTTTTACATAGATTTTTTAAAGCCATTCCATAATAGATTTATGATAATTGCTCTCTTTCTGTAGGAATTTGCTGCAAAAATTGACCTTTTTGAGGCACTTAAACGAAAGGATGACCAGCCTGAAGATGACCAACAAATGGAGATAGAAAATGGAAAATTTGCTGAGGAAGTTGATGGTATTGAGAAGATATGCAATGGAGAGGATAATGAAAACAAAGAAGGCAGTGAAAATTCAGAACGAAAAAAGTTGGCAAATGAAGATGAGAAGAGTGAGGCAGGGAGAGACGAAAAGAGCAACCCAGTGACCAAAGGGACAGATGGATCGCAGTCAAGCCCTCCGCGCATTTCTAGTCGTCGACAGACAATTGAACTAGGGAGAGCCAAGATTCTTTCCGAGTGAGTGAGAAGAGGAGGTCAGTTGATAGTGATACCTTCTCGAAATCTGAAGATGAGTTAAAGTTGAATGAAGACGGACAAGAAAAAGAGGCAAAGACAGGGGACAGAACTGAAGAAGCAATAGAAGGTGTTGTTAAATTAGAGGTAAATGCAAATAAAGAGAAAAAAGACTTTGTTGAAGATTGTGTGCAAAGCAAAACATCTGTCAAAAAATCCAGCATTTCTGGAGTCAAAGAAGAACACAAAGAAAGTCCTCAAGATGGAGTGAAGAAAGAGAATAGTGAATCAGAAAGAACAGACCTTGTTGATTCTTCTCAGCATTCAAGGTCAAGAAAGCACAGTGAGGTTGAAAATGAATTTGAAGGCTTTGAAGAAAGCAAAGAAAATGTAAAAAAAGAAATGGATTCTAGTGAAGCAAAAACTCAAGTGTTAGATGCCCAAAAAATGTGTAATGAAAAACTGCAAGAAAGTTTGAATAAAGCAGACTATGACATGCAAAAAGAAAGAAAAGCAAGCTCTGCTGCATTCCAGGAGACAGACAATACCAATGAAAAGTTTCCTGAGAGAGAGGAAAGGAGGGAAGAGGTTGAAGAGAAAGCTCCACTAGATGCGGAGAAGAATGGCCAAAATAGGGAAGAAAAGGTGAGCCCCTCAGACTGAAGAGGAGGAGGAGGAGGACAGAGATGATATGCAAAAGCAGGCAAACCAAGATGGAAAGAGTATGGATATGTTAGAAGATATGGAGAATCTTAATCATGAGAAGGATGGAACTTCTCAAAATGAGGGCATTGAACTTGATAATGCTAATGGGATCTGTGATGAAGAGGGACTTTTAGACAGAACCACATTAGAAGAAGAAGTAGGGATGGAAGAGCAAGGGGAAGAAATAGGAGATGATGGAGCAATAGAAAATGTGGAGATGTATCACGAAGAAGAGGAAGGACTAGATGAAAGTGAAATGGAACATGGAGTGACTGAAACAGAAGCTGCTGTTAATGCTTTGAAAGGGATAATGGCTCTCCAGCCTACTGAGATCCTTGGCCTCCCAGAGCCGGATTTTGTATACGATACGGAGTATGTAGAGTACTTTGATGGTGGTGTGTATGAAGAAGATGAAGAATTGGACCAGGAAGGTATTGATCATGAAGAAAACATGTGTGAAGATGAAGCAATGGAACAAGAGGGAATGGAACAGGAGGAGCATCATGAGGCTCTGACATGCAGGGTGATGTAGATCAGGAAGGGATTGATCATGAGGAAGAGGAAGCCATAGAGCAGGATGGAATGGATCAGGTGCAAGAAGAAAGCCAAGGAGATCAGAATATACAACAAGGCCAAGAAGTTGTCTCTGAAGAGGTAAGTACTGGTCAAGATGATAATCACGAAAATCATGAGGGACAGGCAGACATTGATCAAGAGTGTGTTGAGCACCAAGAAGCTGTTGGAAATGAGGAATGTGATCAGGAAGAGGATATTGAAGAGGATATTGTAGAAGATGGCAGCCATGAAGATAATGTGGAGCAAGAGGAAGATATTGAACAAATGGAAGGTACTGATCAGGAGGATGAAATACATGGACAGGAAGAATGCAATGAACAGGCAGGAGAAGAGGAAGTGCATGACCAAGAAGAACACCAAGACCAAGAAGGAGAAGAGGTCCATGACCAAGAAGATGAGGAAGAAGAGGAGGAAGAAAATGAACAAGAAGAACCAGCTCCTGCTGAGGAAGATTTGGAAATGCAGGAGGAAGCTAATGAAGAGTATGATGGGAATGAGAAGAATGAAGAAACAGAAGATGGGGAAATGGAGGAAGAAGAAGCTGCAGAAGAAGAACCAGGTAATGAGAGCCAGGAAGGAGAAATAGTAGCAGAGGCAGAAAAAGAAAAGGAGAAAGATGATGTTGAAGATGAAAAAGAGGAAGATCCAGTCAGAAAGATAGAAGATGAGAATAAAAATTCAGAAGAATCCATGGAAAACCAGGAAGAGCAGCTCAAAGAAAAGACAGACAAAGAAAATAAAGTAAGTGACATGGAGAAAGCACAAGCTTATACAACCGACGAAAACACAGCATCAGAGACAGATAAAGCAGGTGAGGTTCGGACACCAAGGAGTACAGCAAGTGGGAGGAAGCCAAGGCGGCCCAAGCGGGGTCTGGAGAGAGAATTGGAACAGCTTGACTACTGGGGCAGACGACTAGAACGGGATGCCAAAAGGCGACGAAGGACTATCTCTTCTAAGTTGCTTGGAAGTGTGGAGGAAGCAGAATATTTGACCTGGGCAGATCTGCTTCGTAGTTTTATTCCCAACTCACTTTTGTAAGTTGAAAGCTTGATTTATATGAGATGGTCATTTTTGTATGATAGTTGTTTAGAATTAGATCTCAAGAAGAATAGTGGATATTTTGTATGCATAGGTAATTTTATACTTTTTCATTATCATTTTTGTAAAGCAGAATATTGAATTAGCCTTTCTTTTTATTGCATCTAGGACTTACAAGAAAAATAATGTATAACATAGTTACTATTTTCTGTTTTTGTATGAATTCAAGCTAAATTTCTTGCATTTTTAGATACCAAACCAAATTAATTAGAAATAATGTAAACTATTGAATTCTTCCTTACAGGACAACTAACCCAGATGCAAAAAGGAAAACTGGTCCTGATGCCCAGCCTGTTAGTAACTCATCTAGCCAAGATTCCAAATTTCTAGTTCCATCAGTGGAGCAGTCTCAGAACTCCAAATCAGTTCCGATGGCTAATCACTTGGCCTCATCCGCTTCAGTTTCTCAGCCATCATTTAATAAGGAAGCTGAGGTGAAGACAGATACGAGTTCAGCTCCTACGAAAGTTCAAGGTGCATGAGACCCAGAAGACAGATGCGAGTTCAGCTCCTACGAAAGCTCAAGGTGAGACCCAGAAGACAGATACAAATTCAGCTCCTGCGAAAGTTCAAGGTGAGACCCAGAAGACAGATACGAGTTCAGCTCCTATGAAAGTTCAAGGTGATTCTGGGTCATCCAAGACTCTGAGTGCAGATGCAGTTAATTCTGAGGGTGAAGATAAGAAAGAAGTGTCAGCCAGTAGTTCACCGCAAGAACCAGAGAAAAGTTTGACTCCCGTAGTTAAATCTACAACAGAAGAACCAAAGAAGGAAGGTGCAGAAATTGCTGAATTAAGTTCTAGTTCATTAAAAGCACAAGAAGGGGATGAAGGCAACTTATTGGAAGACAGTGGAAAGAAGACGAAGGATGTAGCAGATGCGGAAGACAGAAAAGACAATGGAAAGAAGACAAAGGATGTAGCAGATGCGGAAGACAGAAGGTTATCTGTGGATGATAAAGAGGATAAAGAATCTGATATGGAAGTTATTGAAGATAGCCTAGCAACAGTGAAAAAGAATCGCAAAGAAAAGATCTTTTCTTCATCAACAGAGGAAGCACAAGTGAGTTTCAGTGTTAACTGTAACTATTGTACAACAATATGTATGAATTAATTATCTTGTGCTCTGAAGTGCTTCAAGAAGTATTTCTATATATTTATGCTGTTGCTTAGATAATTTATTTTCAATGGTTCTTAATGAAGTGTAACAAATCTAGTAATTGATTAATTTTTCAGCCTAATAACTCTATCAGAATTTATATAGAATGGTCAGAAAGAGCCTGTGTTTTATGTATACACCTGTATGCATACTTATCTTCAAATTCTTTTTTCCTCTAATATTACAACAGGTGGAAGCATTTATGCTTTATTATGAAGAGAATGGAGGCATCCTACACCTTCTTCAGCAGTTTATGCTTGTTCTTTTGAAACGGTATGAGCACAAGTGGCGGCTGCAGCTGCTAAAATGTACACAGAGATATATCCTAGAGTGAGGTTAGTTGATCAAAGGCAGTTATTTGTTATGAAGTTGGGGAATCTTGTAGAACACTTGAATCTTTTACTTTTTTATGAATATTTGCCATTTCACTTCCTTCTCTTCCCTTTTTTTGCCTTCAGGATTTGGTTATTACTTAAGAGTTTCTTTGTGTCAGGTGTTCTGTTTTCTTGCCTTTTCTTGCTTTGTTTTAAATACCCATTTTTTAAAGTATTGCATTACTTTCATTATTTTTCTTCAGGTTTTTGTGGGAAAATTTAATCTTGTGTTTTAGTTGAGAAGAGTATAGATTATAGTTTCCATATGTTATCAACTTAAAAGATAGTAGGAGAAACAGAAGATAGAAGTCATTATTGGAATTTTACATCAGTAACTTTATTATTCCTTAATCTTCATAAGGTCAGTGCTGCAAGACAATTAACAAATAGGTGTTATGTTATACTCCTATCAACCATGTGTATTATTATGGTTCTTGACATGTTTTTACTTGCCGACAGAAACCATGTGTTTCATATCCCCGCCCTTAGCATGAAAGAAGATTGCAGACAGCTTTATCAAGACTCCATGATCTCGCTTACACATTGGGAACTGATGGTCAGCCTTTATCAAGCATCAAAGCTAAACACTCCCGTCAAGTAAGTTTCATTTTTGATTGCGTGTTGGTGTGGTATTAAATTTGGTAGAAAATCTTTTAGCATATTGAAGTAAGGGGATGGAAATCATAGACTTTGTCTTTGGTACTTTGCTGACTGCGGTAAACCATGTGGTAGTATGTACTCGGTATGTGTAGTATGTACTTTGTTTTTCAGAGATCAGAGCACTCTTCCCAACCCCTTTGCTGATAGTCCCGAGCATCTTGAGGACGACATGCTCCACCTGACGCTTATGCTCGGCCGTGGAGACGTCTGGATGGAAGAGACCCCTCAGTTTCATACCAGGTTGCGTTGGCTTCAGGCCCAGTTGCGACTTTGCAGCGGGAAGTCAGAGGATGCGGCAATTTATATGGAATTGGTTAGTGACGGGGAAGCAAGTACTGTGTCTTATTTATTTATTTATTTTTTTTTATTTATTACATATTTGCCATCAGCCATGATCTGAAATTAATGATGCCTTATATCTTATTTTATTTTATTTTATTTAGTATTGGTATTGCAATAAATATTGGACATATATTTTGCTTTTTTTTTTTTTTTAACATCTGAGGAAAATGAATAACTCCTATATTTTTGTCTCTGGTGCTTTACAGCTTTTGTCAGATCTCGAACGTTTGTCCGATAATGGTGAGGAATATGTTGTTCAGCGCACTTGTGTCATGGATGATCAGAGTGTTGTATGCAATTCTGAAGTTAAAAGGCACCTTAACCTTCTGCAAAGGTTTGTTGGTTGATGTTTGACGTTCTTGGTAGAGAGTTAAAGTATATTAATTGTTTATGCTATGGCTTATCTTCCAAATTTTATAAATGGAAAGTCTATGTAAATGTATGTTACTATGTATTTATGTATCCATAATTCACAGTGTGAGTACTTGGAATAATTATTTTCATTTTCAGATCGCAGATGTTGGAGCAAGTGGTTGACAATTATACAGATGGACGTTATAGGGTGGTGGCAGATCTCCTTATAGCCATCTTTCACGAACCACTTCCGAAGGCTCGTCCTGGGGTCACGTTGCCAACCAGACAGACGCAGCTTGTTATCCTCATTGATTCGCTCTTTAAGCTGAATGACCAGAAGGTCTGTAACATTATTTCTGATCTCGATTTTCTTGATAGTCACAGAATAATAACATTGATAAGATTATGCAAAGTAAAAATGTAAATGTAGATGAGGTTAATGTACATGTGGTTAGTAAAGTAGACATATGTTTTATCTGAGTGTATTTAAGAATTTATATATTTTTTTGCAGGGTGTGATAACGTGGGGATCGCATGCTCTGACAGAAGCTCTGAAACGTTTCAATCGTGCAGAAGCAGAAGAAGAGAAAAACAGGTGGGCAAAGACCCTTATGAAAATTACTGAGCGTTCGTATACGACAATTACAAAGAATGCAGGTGTAGGTAAGTGATTGAGATTAACTTCATTGTTTTTATGTTATTACAGACATAAGAGAATATTCATGCACTTATATGTATTTATATATACTCTGTGTATGTATGATGTATATATAAATCCATATACATCTACTCTATAGATCTGTGTTTTATGTATGTATACACATGTTTACATGGGGCATATGTCAAATAAAGTTATATAGATGTTGAATACAAATGAGATTTTTCTTTATTTTTTCAGTGGAAGAAGTTGCGCATGAAAATATAACCCAGATGGTCTCCACCTTGACGCTGATGTTAGTGATCCAGCTGGAGAAGCCACAGAGTGCAGAAGACCTTCCTTTTGATACGCTAACTCCCTGGATCCTCTTGCATAGGATCTTAACGTATGAAGAGCGTCGTCAAGAGAAGATCAGTAAAACAAAAGATCCTAAGGGGGTTCTGGACAAGAAAGCGGAAGAGAGTGCCAGAAAGGAGACAAGCAGTGATAAGGATTCCAAGGAAGAGAGAACGAATGATGAGCAAATGGAGGTAGACATCACAGGCAGCGAAGGGAGCAGCGAGAAGTCAGGCCAGAAATCGAACGAGTCATCCAAGCCTTTAGATGCCAGCTCTGAAGTCCAAGAAGAGAGTGACAAAAGTGAAGTGGCAGCAGAGACTAAAATAGAAGGAGTAAATGAAGAGTCCGCAAAAGTCGAAGAAACCTCTTCTACAGCTAAGGGTCCAGTAGGGCCATACCCCTCTAGCCTCTTCTTAATTACTGCCCACGATGAACTTGGCAAGTAAGTCTTGGTAACACTTGATTCTGTTGAGGTTATGATGTTTTACTGTACATGATGATCTATGTAAGGACTTTCTTTCGAGATGTAAAGATATTTTTCCGATGGATAGTTTCCATGAAAATCAGTTTTCAATTGTCTTATATTAATACTGGCTTCATTATTTTATTTTTACCCTTACTGTCCAAAAACTAAAGGATGAAGAGTTGTCTTTAGACAATGAATAACTGATACTAAGTAATTCAAAGAACAAGTGCAGCTGAACTTAATGTTCAGTGATGTAAAGGGCTATGCTTACTAAATAGGATTGTTTGTGACAAATGTTGAAACAGTATAGATAATGTCAAAAAGTCTGGTTAACTATGTGATTTATTCTTTGTTAGTTTTTATCTATAATTACTAGCATTTTAACTTATCTGTCACATCTCAGTTATTTGTTTTTCTGTTTTGTTGTAATTATTACTATTTTTTAGGCTTGTATATTCCCTGGTATTTTACCTTATACGATCAGATCACAGTTACTTGCCTCTCCGTCATGTTATACTGTTTTTATTTTTCTTTAGGCATTCCTGGTGCTGTGCAGATGACGGTGTGTTCTTGCTCTACTGCTTAGACGTTTTAATCGAGGAGCTGAATCGACCAATCGAAGGCCAGCACAGGCAGCTTTTACACCATGCGCTTGAACAAGTATCCTTCTGTCTCTATTCCCATCCTTCAAAGAAGTCAAAGGTAACTATCAAAACAATTGACTTTTGCTGGGAAATTTTGTGTGAGGAGTTGGCCAGTGTCCCGGCTGTAAGGATATTGCTGTCTCTTTGTTCACTTTCTGAGTATTCTGCTGAGGGAGCTTTCTTCTTCTTCTTTTTTTTTTTTTTCTTCTTCTTCTTCTTCTTCTTCTTTTTCTTCTTCTTCTTCTTCTTCTTCTTCTTCTTCTTCTTCTTCTTCTTCTTCTTCTTCTTCTTCTTCTTCTTCTTCTTCTTCTTCTTCTTCTTCTTCTTTTGCATATAACCGTACTTTGTGAATATAGTCACATACCTTTGTAGTCACTTATATCGCTTATTAACATTGATAATAATTTTTAGAATTTGTTGTTATTTATTTACTTACTTATTTTATTTCCAGCACAAACATCTTCGCGACCATGGAGTTCCTCAAATTGCCCTGTGCTGGGAGAGAGCACTTCAGCTGTATCATTATTATGTTCCGAAGGAGTTGCCAACCTTCCAGTCGTCACAGATACCATCCATTACAGATGATGTGGCAGCATTGTTTAAAAGGTCCTATATCATGCTTTTCTGTTTTTAGCTCCATAGTTTTGTTACTGCTAATTGCTCTTTTATTTGTTGATTATATCAAAGGCTTGATTATTTGGTAAGAATTGAAATAAGGAACCAAAACATTTCATCATAAAATTCCCTCATTTTTCTGTAAGCTAATGTTAGCTTTTCTTTTACTTACGCCAACAGAATTATTGCTCTTCTTCCTGATGAAGACAAACCAGAGAACCAGACAGAAGCTGTTGAAGCATACATTTGTGGAGGAAACCAGGAGTGTGATTTTGTTCCCTTCAAACCATCCACAGACATTGTTGATTGCTACTATCTGCTTGGTGATTATTACTTCAAGAACAAAGAGTGGACGAATGCCATCAAATATTACAAGCTAGATGTCTCTATCAATGTAGATCGACTGGACTCCTGGGCACCGCTTGGTTTGGCCATGAAAGCCATGCTGGAAACACAGCTAAATTCCTGTGAAGTGATTCAGGATGAGGAGGAATTTTTCTCTTTGGCACAACAAGCTGTGCAGTGTCTGAAGCAAGCTCTGAAGTTAGACGAGTACCACACAAACCTTTGGGTTGAGTTTGGTGGCCTTGTCTACATGGTCCATTCACATGCCTCTAGACTTCTGAAACAAGATCTGAATCCAGATATTAGCCTTGAAACGTTTGAGATGCTTGAGAAACTAAAGGGTGATATGCTGAAGAGGCAGAGAGATGCTTCACTCAGGCCCTGAACATACAGAGGAAGGCTGGGATGACGACAGCTTACCAGATGAGAGATGGCTGCACTGCTACATGTTGGGTAAAATTTCTGAGAAGCAAGGGAAGGCACCGCAGACCATATTGCAGAAGTATCTCGAGGCAAGTAAGCATCTCCATCAGATCCAAGCCAAGTATCCGGTGAAGATAAATTACAACAGCCCGCAAGAATATTCAGTGGAAGCCCTAGAAATGTACTACCGTGCTCATGCATACATGCTGAAGTACTTACTGCAGAGAGAAGGTAAGCCCGTTGATGAGGGTGTGATTAAGTATTTCATAAAGGTTTTGGATGAGCTGGCAAACGGACGCCATTTGCCAGTTGCCAGGAAAAGAAGAAGTCCAGTGACGACGTGAACGTGACAGTAGTTGAAGGAGAAGCTGGACAGGACAAAGCCAAGGAGCCAGCTGCCATGGAAGCATCTGACAAAGAGGGAGAGTCGAGGAAGAGGCCCTTAGAGGAAGATGGTTCTGCTAATGAACCGCCTGCCAAGAAGATGCTAAGTGGACAGGAATCTGAGGAAGTGAGATCTGTCATAAAAGAAGTGGTCAATGATATAATTAGCGATGCTGCTGCCAAGTCGGACGATGCTAAAAAGGAAGATGAAAGCAAGAAAGAAGGGGCAGTGAATGGCCAGGATGGAAATAAAGACAGTAAAGAGGCATCAGAGAAGACAGAAATGGAAAATGGCGAGGTTAAGGCAACAAAACCAAAGGATATGAAAGAAAGTGACGATGAGATCCTTGTGGTGGAAGAGAAAGTGATTGAGAAGAAGGACCACCTGACGGTCATATCTCGATGCCTGGCTGCACTAAAACTGTGCCTTTCTAGATTCCCTCAGCACTACAAGGCTCTTTACCGCCTGGCTCAGTATTACCACACATCAAAATTCCATAAGGATTCAGGCCGAGCACGCAATTATTTACTCGGCTGCGAATTCTGGCAGCGAGTTGGATACATGCCTGTGAATGGGTTGTTCAACGAGCGCAAAGTGTGGATCCAGCAGCCAAAGAACTCCAACTTGTTCCATGGGATCTGGCGCATCCCCAACGACGAGGTGGATCGGCCGGGGAGCTTTGCCGCCCACATGTATCGGTGCGTGTCAATTACCCTCGATATTTTACCGCAGATGAAAGATTTCTTCACCATTCTGGAAATCGCGCTGGCCTTGAAGAATTCGCCGGACAAAGACAAGAAATACTTGAGAGACAACGAGCGGGAACTCCTCTCGGAACACGCGACGCAGGTGGGATTGCAAGCCATGAAAGACAAGTACAAAGTGCTATTCCAAGGAGCGTCGCCCGTGCACGGAAATCGTCGCATGGCCTTCCTTTTGGATGTCTATCGAGGCTACAAGCAAATAAGCAAGCACCTGCAAGGTTCAGAACCTCACCTGGCTAAGATGCTTTCAGAGGCGTATGTCGCATATAGAGGGTTGAAAGCAGATGGCGTGCAAATATACTGAGGGAGGCGGAGTCGTTCTGTAATAGGAACCAGTACCTCCAGCACCGCGTCCCGACGACAGCAGTGGCCGGACAGGCTAGCAGAGGAGATGCTACGGGGACTCCCATGATCTCACGAAGAGGACGTCCCCCTGGAACAGGACGGGGACGAGGGAGAGGACGTGGCTCTTTTTACAGTTCTCGTCAGTCTGGCGACCTGCTGGCGGTGCAGCAAGCGTACAAGATCTACGAAAGCTTAATTCACGCACAGACACTGCTGAACAACAAGGATCTCGATCGGGCTTCGGCGTATACCTACCAGAAACAGCTGGAACATTATCAGACACAGTTACTGAAGTATTTGCATATACCAAGCGTATCTCAGTATTTCCAAGCCTTCCTTGCAGGGACTAGGGACTGCGGCAGCCAAATTACCACCCCCGCCAAAAGGTGCAGAAACCACCGTTGCTGCAGCTACCACTGCTGCTGCTGCTGCTCGTGCTGCAGTGCCAGGCACCGCTCGAGCCGCCACCACAGCAGCAGCCCAGTTACTTCCCACAATGAAAGAGCGAACAGGTCAGCCGTCTCAGTCAGGGGCGACAAAGCCTTCTCTGAGTGCCTTAGCTCAGAGGTCGCACGCTCATGGCATATCCATCACATCTGTCTCGGCTTCAAAACAGTCCACGTCGCCAGGGAAATTACTGAAGCCTAATATGTCAGTCACAGTTAGTCCGGCCAAGAGTGCTTGTCCGCCAGCGTTACAGGGTCGGGGTGATATATCTGTAGTGTCTGTCTCTCGTCCCCAAAGTAACAACAGGACAACCACAACCACCACGTCCCCGAGGGTTTCAGCCAGTGGGACAGTTACGGTCACACAGTCATCAACGGATAGCAGATCGATTACCACCACAATTAATACAAAGTCGATCACCACCACAACGGTAGGGTCTGTACCGAAACTTCCCGCTGGAACCACGCTCACGAGACCTGGTGACTCTACGCCCCCCAAAGGGTCGGCGCCACGTCCTCAGTTGCAAGCACAAGCACGTCCTGTCAAGAACGTGTCAGATGTTCTTGATAGTTTGCCAGGATCAATGAGGAAGATGGCCGCGGAAATTCTTAGCAGCAGTGGAACCTCGGTGACCCGGGCAACAGTGCCAACGGGGACGCAGATTCGCACCTCCCCCGACAAGGCGAGCAGGCCGAGTGTGACCAAGGAAACGACGATCACTCCGGCTCCCCGAGTGAAGAGTCAGGGCCGGGGTCCGGGTCCGCAAGCGAAAAACCCGTCGTCATTCCTAGGGGCATACCAAGCATCCCTTGGCATCGCAGGAAGCAAAATGAGTGGAGCAGCCAGAGCGCCCGCGAGCACTGCGACGCCGAGCTCTGTTACGCTGGAGTCTGCCAGACGCGCCCAGCCTTCGCAGGCGGCCGGCAAAGCCCGTATTACGCAGCTGAATTCGTCGCAGTTAATGCACCTGGCGTACGGAGGAGCAGGGCGGGGCGCTGCATCAGATAACATCTCTGACCTGATAAGGGAAATAGCAAAGAACCAGCAGCCAGTGGGAGGCCATGGACGGGCTCAGGCAGTCACCGTTCAGAGAGCACAGGGCGTCGCTCTCCAGCGTCCTCAAACCTTACCAACCCAGAGACCTCCGCAGCCGAGACCCCTTCCACAGGCTAGACCTGCTCCTCCGCAGGCCAGACCACCTCCTCCTCAGGCTAGACCAGCTCTTCCACAGGCCAGACCAGCTGCTCCTCAGGCGAGACCAGTTCCTCCTCAGGCGAGACCAGTTCCTCCTCAGGCGAGACCAGTTCCTCCCCAGGCGAGACCAGCCCCTCAAGTTCGAGCGCCCCCGCCCAAGCAACTCCAGAAGCCTAGCCCTCCGAAGCCCACGCAGTTTAAACCCGGCCAGGGAGGGGCGGCGGCCGGATCAGACGATATAATAACGCTAGATTAACTCTTCAAAAATCGCTTTAAGCAGATTTTTTTTTTTTTTTAGGTAGATGAATAGCTTCTTCTAGATGCAGAAGATAGCGATCTGTATATACGAATAGTTTCCGATTTTGGCCGTGAATTGGATATACCTTTTCGCCTTGAATTGTCTTAAAAACTGCCGTGAGAAGTGTTTTGTGTAATACATGCTTGATAATGATGACCTGTATGTAAGTCCTACACCCAGTGAATAATAAATGTAAGAACTATAAGCCAAAGATCGTATTATATAACCTCGAATTGCATTATTCCAGCTTGAAATTAAGAGTTAAAGAGGAATCAACAAGTGTCTCTATCAGAGAATTATTTTTTATTTATTTACTTATTTATTTATTTACTGAGGTTTTAAGGATTTTATAGTTTATCTGTCATCAGTATCTGTTCGACTATGAAAAAGGAAGTAGAATAATAACAAAGCTTTCACCAAAAAGTGACATGAACCAGCAGGAATTCAGTCATTGGCAATAAATAGAATTCTGAAGTATTGATGTTTGTTAAGTTATTCAGACAGCATTGCCGTGTTACAGCGTGTGCGTGTCTTTTGTTAAGAGTGTGTGCCTATATGTGTTTGTGTGTACAAGAGGAGACAGCAGTTTAATACAATAGTAATCTTGTAGTTACTTTCTCTCTCTCTCTCTCTCTCTCTTCTCTCTCTCTCTCTCTCTCTCTCTCTCTCTCTCTCTCTCTCTCTCTCTCTCTCTCTCTCTCTCTCTCTCTCTCTCTCTCTATCTGTCTGTCTGTCTGTCTATCTATCTATCTATCTAATTATCTATCTATCTGTCTCTGTCTCTGTCTCGTTCCCTCTCCCCTCTCTCTCTCTCTCCATCTCCCTCTCTCTCTCTTTCTCTCCCTCTCCCCCCCCCTCGTCACAAACCAAATCAGATTCATAACTACAATTTAGAAAAATGTATTTGAATATATTGTGATTGAACCATTTGCATGACGACTTTGATGTGTACTTTTCAAGATGTTTTTATTTAACATTGTTCATCTTTAAGGTGTTTTACTGCCATTTGCTAATGCTTTTTCAGGGACCGTATTTTCCAAGCAACCATTGCATCCAAAGAAACCAAACTAATTTTGGATGGGCCATCTGTAAGACTGTGAATGTCTATGAGACCAACTAAATATGTTTCAGATGAATATTATTTTTGGCACCCCCTTACTTGCACAGGCATGGACAAGATCTTTGCGCTTGATTTGTGGCCATAGCATGATATTGCAATACCACATTATAGATTTAGGAAATCTTGATCATATCTTCTAATACTTAACCTCGAATTGCAGAGTCCCAGCTTGAAATTAGCAGCTGAAAGGGAATTATCAGGAATGCCTTTTTGGGAGTCTTAGTTTTTCTCATTATTTAGAGTAGACTTCAGTGTTTGCTGTTTATCTTTTGTCATCAATTTCTTAATGTAGGGTCTCTACCTGTAAAACATCTGTTTGACTAAGAAAAAGGAAAGAACTAAAATAACAACAAAGCTTACACAAAAAAGTGACATAAATCAGCAGAAGTCCGCAGTCACTGGCTTTAAATATAAATCTGAAGTATTAAAAGTTTTAAAAGATTTGTCGAAAAATGTTCCTCACTTCTGTTCACATATATTAAGGAAGGGTTAAGCATAGGCCACCATACTTTAACTACCGACTAACGGCCTCTTCTAATGCCAAAATTATGTGTGAATAGCACTGTGTGCTTGAGAGTTAGGCGGAAAATTTGAGATGACACTGCCTTTCAAAGCTTTAATGGATAGATTTTTATTCTAAAACATCCATGCGTGTGTTTTGTAAAGTGCCTGTGTTTGTATGTGTCTGTATGCACGATACGAGACATTAAATATAATAGCAATCTCTCTCTCTCTCTCTCTCTCTCTCTCTCTCTCTCTCTCTCTCTCTCTCTCTCTCTCTCTCTCTCTCTCTCTCTTCTCTCTCTCTCTCTCTCTCTCTCTCTCTCTCTGACGTAAACCCAAGCCTATAAACATAATACGTTAAAGCATATTATTATTCGGATACAATAACCTATCCACATTACATGGTTTTATGCCGTAGAGGAAAAATAAACCGTGAAATCAGATTCATAACTATAATTCAGAATAACAGTAATTCAGAGATGCATTTGAGTATATTGTGAATGAACCATTTGCATAACGACTTTTTATAATCTTAATAATGTACTTTTCGAGATGTTTTCATATAACTTTGTTCATCTTTAAGGTGTTTTACTGTCAATTCATTTTCAAGGATTTCGTGTTTGTCAAGCAGCCATTGCATCTAAAATAATCAACGTAATTTTAGATGGGCCATTTGTAAGTTTGTGAATGTTTACGAGACGGCAAGTAAATATCGGTTTTATTTTATTTTTTTCGCATCCGGTTCGACAAGATCTGTGTTCTTGAGTTATGGCCATCTTATTATATTGCAATACCATTACGAATTTAGAATATGCCGTAATGATATCTGAAACATCAGATGAGATGAAATTCATGTTCTTTCTACCGCAAGCTAGTTAACCTACGTGGCTAAAGCACATGGCACAGATGTAGTGCACAAGTGTTTACTGATTTTCTTACACAATCTGTCTTTACTTTCCTTTCGCTCTCACTGCTTAGCCTGCCTGCTTGTATTATCTGCATCAAAGCCTAATTCTTACTGTCACTGCATCGTATTACTCTTGTTTTTATGGCTTTATTTACCGTAGATTAAATTTCCTAAGTCGGCCATAATGGTTCTTGCCCCATTCTTTTAGTGGCTTGTGCCTTTAAATTAAATTCATTTACCACACATTTACTGAGAGTATTCAAGAATTGGAAAAGCACTGTGTGAAACTCATTAAATCAATCTTACGTCAGACTTTTCCTTCCCATCTAACTGCACTGCATAATCATGGAAGTTTTTGAGCATCTTTCATTATATAATAACATCGCAATGTTGCATTACGTATTTAGGATATGATATAATCATATCGTATATAACATGAAACGAGGTTGATATAACCACACGTATCTTCATGACCTGAATCACTGAATTAGCACTTGAGAAAAAGTTAGTTTAGAAAGTTTATTTACCACCCTGGCTATCTGTTCAGCCAATCGTAATTACAGTTTTACATATATTCACATATATTCGACAGAGTACAATATTGTGTGATTAATTGTAACTGTACATGGTAAAATGAAAATATGAGTCAAACACCATACAAAAGAATATTAAGGTTAATATACTTTTGCCACTGTGTTTGCATAACAATGTTCTATGATTACGGATATGTTACATAATATATTGAGTTTATCTTCCAGTGTATCAGATGAAACGGCATAATCACAGTTCTTTATACCTCATGTTAAGTGGTGTGGAAGGCTGTATCACACAACACCGAGATATAATGCTCAAATGTTCACTCACTTTCCTCGGGACACATCGAGATTCATCTGCACTTCTTGCACCTTGCAATTGCCAGTGCATTCTCTAACCTCAACGAATTCTAGCAATAACCACGTCACAGAGGAGGGTGCTAAAGCTTCCAGACCTTTGTGAGTTGGTCAGATCTATCAGTTCTTCCCTGTGAGAACTTTTCAATGTGTGTGCAACCCTAGCAAGAGGCATCCCAAGATCTATGTTTACAGAATCTTTGTACTAGCTTCTTTCGCCAATTTGTCTGCTTGGTCGTTCCTGCGTATACCAACATACATTTATTTTGCTTTTAACCATTAACCATTATCATGAGATGGTTTCAATTTAGTTAAGTCCTTGATTCACCACTCTGGCTAATTATACAGGCGTGGGCAAGCTGTGGTAAAGTGAAGAGAGGACATTAAACCCCGTAGAGTTTATCCGGGGACCAACAGGCATTTGTTACAAGTACTTAAGGGTCATCTATAATATTCCTCATTATCACAAATCTACAAAGCGTACATTTTCGAGCAACCCCCCTCCCCACCCTAAAAGTGTACATTAGCGGACGAAAAATTATGATCTATCAAGATCTCCCTATCTATACGTGGATTATAATTTTGTGATTCTATGAAAATTATATGA